TCCACTCTCCGCCAGATCGTTGTTTCTACATGTTTGGTAGCAACTCTCTTGCCAAGTAGTGAAATTGATACACTTGTTTCTTCGTGTTGACGTACATAACATTGTTTCCCATGGCTCAGGATTACCACCTACACTTCAGCTAACCTGCCCGCTCCTTCTTCCTTAGCCACACTGCCTCCACCTTCAGCTCCACTCTGCCTGGATCTCAGCCATTATCCTCTCACCACTGCCAGCAGGAGCTTCACCTCACCATCTCATCAGCCACCAATAAATATTAACAATAAAGCCCTGCCTTTGGTAATCATACTCAACCGAGTTTGTGTTCTGTTTGTGGGTTTCTTTCAACAATTTTATCTTGGCCCATCTTGAGGCAGAAATCAGACAAAAGATCTGCACACTCCAGAGCTCACAATAAATTCAGTCAGATTCCAGACAAGCAGCAAGCAATATTCTGTACACATACGCTAAAAAACAATTCATTACTCAGATTTGGAAAAGGGGGAAAAATTGAAAGGTAAAGGAACACAATATTAATATATATATGTAAAATGGAAATGGAAAAAATACAAGTGGGAAAGACTAATAAGAATTAATCTGATCCAGACTTTCAGCATGTCCTCAGTCCTCCTCAGTATTTACTACTTTTATATAAATGGTGTTAAGTTGAATTCAGAACTACCACACTTTGCAGCCAAAAAACAAAGAAAATCAAATTGTTGCATTTTTATCTGTATATTTACCTGCCAGTTAAACCCTCCTATTACTGAGTTTTGGGGCGATGTAGGGCGTTGGTCTGTGATCTTGGATCCTGATCCTGATCCTGATCCTGATCCTGATCCCGGGGTGAGGATGAGCATCAGCCTCCTGCTCTGCTGCATGCGGTCCTCCACCAGCTCCAGATGGTCTGTGGGGTCAGACAAAGTGTTGACAAAATGGTTCCTCAGGCTTCTACCGCAACAAAAACATCCCTTAGGGACTGTAAAGACCCCTTCCGGAGAAGTTCCCCATGGTGGTTCTTTACTTTGATTTAGATGTTTTTAGCTAAATCAAAAAGAAACATGTGAAATACCAATAAAATAATATTCTGACCTTCCCCAGGTATGTCATCCCTTCCGTGGATAAAGAGTCGGTAGCCACACTTTTCCTCGAGGACGGAGGGCAAATTCTTTGTGACGAACTGACAGAGTGTCTCCTCAGTGTCCATGTCCAGGCTCTGCACTTGATAGACCACGTAGGCATCGTACACCTTCCCATCTGGGAAATACAAGCAAATTCATGCCATTCATAGACACAGACACTCCTCTGTAGGTGTAATCAGAATCATGTATTTAAAGTATAAAGTGAATAATATGATATATCAGTAGATCGTTATGACTCTGCAAAAAAAAACATACTGTTGTAGTTGGTTTTGAACTATTCTGTATAGGACTACAACTAATGATTATCTTAATTATAGAACCATGTGCTGATTAATGTCTGAATTAATCAATTGATTGTCTCATTTCTAAAAATAGTGAAAATAGTGATCACTGCCGTGACCAAAGTGACAGTAGAGTAGGGTTAGAATTACAGGTATACAGTGGCATGAAAAGGCAAAGATATGTCAAATTTGTATTTGAGTAAATGCACAATTCCACCACAGGACAAACCTACATAAGGAGATCATTATGACCCAATGCAACTTTGTCACCACACCCTACTTACAAAACATGAATGTGTGACTAATAAAGCTAAATACAAGTTGTCAGACATTAAATTACAGTGCTGAAACCCACCCAACTAAATCTAATTGGGAGTGCACAGCAAATAGTTCCCGCAAAAGCCCAGCTATTTTGCCTTTGTCTCCAAAACCCAAATTCTTCTTTGGTTTAACAAACTCTCTGAATCATAGCCACCCAGACTGCTGTCACTTATGATGCCTGTAGATGTTTTACTTCTATTTGCCCTGTAAGAAAGTTCAGAATGTGCACACTGAAATCATCAGGGAGAGAAAAGATTAATAAAATTTAACTGACTTTATTATCAGACCAGAAAGAATTTCCCAAAATAGTGTGGCTGGAATTGTGCTACTGCTAAGAAGTGTCTGTGGATCTATGCAATAGTAACGGCAGACTTCACAAAAACACATTGAACGCAACCAAAATCTGTACACGTGTAAGTTTAAACGAAAGGAGTCACATGAACCTTTTTGAACAACATCTCTGTGTGATTGCTTGCATGCAGAGGGAGAAGCACTCAGTTGTAATTTATCTAGAATCAGCTATACTAAAGACAGAAATAAACTAGTTTCCAGATTCATATTAAAGAAATAATTTAATGTTTTACGAGTTAATAAGTTCAATGATAAGACAGACCCCAATGTCGTGTGTGCATTACAAAGAGTACACTTCCCTGTCAAAGCCTGGTTTCTACATTACCCATAATGCAACTCTGCAAAAGTCAGTTTGGTCGGAAATTCATTCTCACTCCCAACTCCTCAAATACGGCAGCGGCCATACACTCTAAAGCTAGGACGCTGTAGGCCCCATGTAGCTTCAGTTTTACATATGCAGGACTCCATGGCTAGTTAGCAATAATAAATATGCAATCCGGTAAGACTTTCAAAATAAAGCTTGCTGAGAAACATTCAGGATTTTATGACTTTAAATGGTTAAAGGTGGTGGTTTTGACTTTTTCACAAAAACTACTTGTGAATCAGGTTATAATAAGTACGAACGAAAAGAAGCCATGGTTGACTTTTGGTTCCACACGGGACACTACTGGGTGAAAGTCCTGTGTTTGTTTGACCCACGCACCCCAACCTAACATCCTACCATATTCTGACTTTCTCATTCTTTGTACTGCGTCACCTGACTATAACGGCACATCAGAACATTACACCAAATGGGCTTGTCCAGAAATGACACTAGAGAGGCTAGTCTCAGTTTAAAGGCCACTGACCAAGCTGGAACTGGTTGGTTTTAGCGGCTAATGTAGCATCGAGCTGCCAGCCACAAGCATAGATGAGGAGTAGGCTACTTATTCTAACTCCAAACCCCAAAATGATTTTCATTTTCAAACTTGTTTTTAACCCCAATTCACGCTAACTCAAGTGACAGTTCTCCCCGAGAGCTGTAAACAGACTCTGATTTGTAAAATTGTCACAGTTACCCTTGAAGTAGATTAGCTTAACTTAGCTTAGCATAAGGACCAAAAGCAGAAGGTAACAGCTAGCCTGCCTCTGTCCAAAGTTGAAGAATCCACTTACAAGCACTTTTAAAGCCAACTAATACTACTACTAAACTAAACACCAAGTTGCACCTCGTTTGTTTCATCTGTACACAAGTAGAAATGTAAAAACAACGGTGTTTTCAGAGTTAGCTGAGCAGTGAAATAAGGAGACGTATGGACTTAACATAAATCCTGTCTTCCTTACCGTCAGTCTGACTCCTGTGTGGGAGGTACGATCTGAATAAGAGCGTGAGGTCGATAGCAAAGTACTTGACCAACACGGTGGCAAGCACACAGAAGATCACCATACACACTCCTTTAATGACAAGTGGAATTATTGACTCTGGAAATCAAACACAGTTAAAAAAGATTTTAATTGGATTTGATTAAATTATAAAAAATACAACAACAATGAATGATTGCAATCTAACAAGTATTGCCTGTGTAGACAAAGCCTGATGTAATATTAGTCATGGACAACAGTCGATCCTCACTGACCTCTCGGCTTCAGAGTTAAAGCTGATGAACTGATTTCATGAAGGCCCTTGCCGATGCATTTAAATTCAGTCTGGAAATCTTTAGCTGACACTTTGTCAATGGTCAGGACGGCAGTGGAGATGGTATTCTTTGAAGGCTTCTTGGTTCTAACAAAGGACACAGAATTTGGTTCATTAATGAAAAGGAGACAGTTATCATTATCATTGATTACAGAGAGGAAGGTGGTTCACTGCAGCAGCCAACCAGGGCAAGGGAGAGCAAACTCAGTCAGTCGGTCTACCACTCTTGTCCAGACAGAAGAATTAGATTGATTTCCATGAAATTTTGTACAGACATTCATGGTCTGCTGAGGATGAGTCTATATTACTTTTCCCTGAGTGCCCCAAACAATTGTCAAATTTCTCCACTTATCCAGTAAAATATAGAATACTATATTTTGCCAAAAGGAATAGTGCAGTCCTAGATTATGTATCCTTCTGAGTCAGGCAATGTCTTGTCTTTTCCTCAAAGAAGTCAGAGTCAGTTGATTTATAGTTTTTCTCCATTGGCTCATTTCTCGAAACAGAAATT